ATATAAAGATAAATCTAACAAAGATTCTAACTTTAATTTGATATTAGAAGAACAATTACAGAGTGACCTCTTTCAACTTACGAGCTACAATTAGTCAATTGAATAATTAGTAGAGTCTAATTAGCCGTAATACAATCTGATGATGATGAATCTAAAATATGACCTCGTTTATATCGACTTATCTTGCATTGAATGATTGTGTCTAGTTGTTTAATACTATATTAGCGATTTATCCTTGCTTCGCTCGAGTGCGAGTCTCTACGTACGTTTTAAATAGATATGAATAGTTATTGCAAGTATACCTTAGAAGAAGGCTTATACTATTGTAGATTTTTCTTTAGGTCTTATTAAGACCTACAATTTTCTAGTACATTGATTTGATGTTTCTGTTAAGGTTTATCCAGCGTTAGACAATAGACATGTCTAGGGACGATTCGATAGAACCAGTTGTTTTGTTCGACGTGAAAATGAAAAATTTTCCTGTACTAAAAGTTATCCTAAATGTTGACCCGAGTAATAAGTTATCACTATGCAAAATTTAGTTAAAGTCGGTTCAGTACTTTTTGCGTGAAACGCGCACATCGATTTCGCTAAGTAACTGTTTTATTATATGTACCTATTACCTATAGAAGATGCTAGTAGCTACTTTGTTATAATTATTATTAGCTCACAAAAATGTTGTTAATTATTAAATATTTATTTATTGTAATTGTATTACAATATAAAAACTATATTTTTTTATACTAATATATATATATAGTATTCCTTTAAAAAATTATTCTTATAGAATGTCTGCAATAGGTTTAACATTCAGCGTAGCTTTCTATTTGCTTTTAAATTCTGCGTGCCTCATCAGTTAGCACGATTTTTAGAGAAACTTAGTCAAATATTTCGTAAATTCATATTTGTTTTGGCAAAATAACAAAAATATTTTATGTATTTTTAACGGCAAATCGAGTTTAGCACTTCTTTTTAAAGATTTGTGTTCGATGATATAAAAAAGTCTCATGCATCTTTAACGTCTCGTACCTTTTAACAGGAAGAATTCGAATGGGCAATTCACTGTTCTCAACAATTTGATGGTATTCTGAGTCGGCGTCCACAAAAGGCTGCAAAAACTGGAAGAGTCAGTCGCATGTCTAAGGACCGGCGGCTCGACAGAGAAGATTTTGAAATTGTAGACGCATTGAATGAAAGATTTAGGCATATTTTAGACAGAAAAATCTGTTTTTAACTGTATTACCATCTACTTTATTTTTTACCGTACCGCATATTCACTTTAATTTAAGGTGTTATTTATCGACATAATTTTACTGTCGACAAACGTGTTCGTAAACTCGTTCTCGTGGTGTCGTAAAAGAAATTTGCTTATCGCTAAATTATTGCTTCTTCGACCAATTCTGTTTATTAAATCACCTTTTTTTTATAAATTCTAGAATAGTGTTTTAATTTTTTTTTCATTTTCGTCAACTCGGGCATTTGCTAATTAATAGTTTGCTTAAATACACAAACATACCTACAATATAAAAAAAATTATCTGTGTAAGTATTTTTATATCAAGATTTTCATTTTAATATTATAGCCTAATACAGTTATTATAGGTAAAATAAATAACTAAATCTCTCTTTCGGATTCGGGTAGACGTACAAAGTTAACCATTACAAGACACGCATCTGTGTAAAGATATACAGACGCTTGAAGTGCAATTAAAATGCAATGAATTATATAGAAAATTTTTATTAAAATAAAATCAATAACATTTGAAAACAATAGCAATGAAATAAAAAACCAAGTACCAATGTAAATACATATATAAAAGGCTATTTAACTGATTTACAAAAATATCCATTAAATATGTGAGATTTTTTTAAAATATACTGTTACATAAAAATAAATATTAGGAGAATACCAACTTATGAGAAAAAAAATAAAAATAAATGCATTATTTATTTGAGAGAAAAAGAAAAGATAATAAAAAATTGAATCCAAACCGCGTGTACTAGACGTGTTAAAGAAATCTTCGATAAGGGACCTACTTTTCCAACCGGCTCTTATTTCTGAGTAAGTTTTTTATAGCTTGGCAACCATTCTTATAGTGTATAAAAAATATCAAAGTATCAACCCTTTCTAGTTTCCTCTATGGCCGTGTACGAGTTTAACGACCGCCTACTTCGGTCAAAAGCGATTTAATTGAAACACCATAAACGGAATCGAGCCGCACCTGCGTGCTTGTGCGTGAGGATTTCCACAAGTCTTTAATGAACACAGACGATCTCGAAATTACTCGAAAAAATTGTGAAGTTGCCCACACACAGCTCTTATTATATATTATATAGTATAAGAAAGCCTTGTTTTAAAGGTTAGTTACCTTTATTCAAATTAGGTTTTAAAATTTTGAAGACTCCATAGTTGAAGGCAAAGGAAATGACTATGATATAGATAGTGCTTTATTTGAAGTTTCATTACCGTGGTATTTTAATCTTTTATATAGTTTTTTAATTATTTGTATATACTCGTATATCAATTTATTTACTAAATTAATCTATGTGTGATTCTAAAATTGTAAAGTGTAACTGTGAGTGAGTTATGATTAGGGAAGAGTATTGTTATTGACGTTCAGGCATTTGTTTTAATAATAAACATTACTTGGCACACAGCGGTGCATGTACTGAGCAGTTGTGAATACAATTTTAATATTTAATCATTCAAAAAGATATGCTCGTAGATCATAGCAGTTACCATCTTTAGATGTTTACCGTCTTTCGTCTTCTATTACTTAAATAAATGTAATATTTATTGTTCTAAAATAATGCGTCTGAATATACTATATAGCATATACCTATATAGAGTTTATATTTATTAAAATATTATAAGTCAAGACTCACTCAGGCTACTAAAGTCACAAATTTTTCGAGTTACTTGATTATACATATAACATGTTAATATTTTTCCAGTCAGACATGCTGTATAAATAATATGAATAACCTTCCTTCAAAAAACACAAGGGACCATTAAGTTGCTTCTTGCCCTTGTACGTGGTTCCTTCTTAACGAATGTGTATTTTTCCGTAAACCATTTTCCGAGTTCAATATTGGTTCAATTATAGCTTTACTATTAAAATGTCTTTAGATCATGATAAAGAAAATTCATGAAATTTTTAAATAAAATTAATGAAAATTAATTACCTAATGCCTATATTAAGATAAAAAAAATGTATATGTTGTTTATAGTTTTTTTCTATAGAAGCCATGTTTTTTTAAAGATGCGATAGTCAAATTTTCTATATCGACTTTACTGATGACTTGATGCTTCATTACCGAAAGAACTAAAAGTACCAATGACTACAACTTGCAGGTTACAATGTGTATTAACATAGTTGCTTTTTATAAACATGCGTTATATGATTTTATCATAATTTCCTTTTAATTTTTTTATTTTAATATTATTTAATAGACCAACACTAAATTGACCATTATAAGATTAATGCCAAACTTTTGATGTGTAGTTTTCGTTACAAATTGATATTCACTAAGGAAGATGATGGTTTTATTTTCTACATTCTATAATTAGGTACATACGAGTATATGCGCACAGAACGGATAGATTTAAAGTACCTACTAAGCGGTCCCTGCATATCTCGTTTGCTGGATTTATTGTCAGGGGGTTCTCAGATCTGACCTTGTTTGATATACTCGATGACTAAATACATTATATTCCCTTGTCTCCATCCACTTTAATCATACTGATTTGAAACGATAGCAAAGAAAATGAGACAATAATCAATTTTCATATATTTTGTTTCAAATATCTATAAATTATGCGTCTTAATATTATAAAAATATTTTATATCTTTCATTACGAACTCTTTAATTAGATATACCTATCGTATAACAATACTTTGTATAATAAATCATTATTTCAACATTGAGCTTTAATGACCCCATATAAAGCGCGACGTACAATAGACTGAAAAGCTGAAAAATATTAAAAAATGAAAAGATTTTAAATGGTCAAGACACATTAAAATCTTTGTCATCATAAAATTAAGTAACAGTTCTATTTTATAAGTACAAACACAAGCGGATTAGCATTTTTAGATCGAGCTGATGCAGTCCACGTATGGCTTTGTGCTTTGTGGGTACTAATTGTATGCGATCGTGTTCACGAGGACAGTGTGCGGTGCGCACAAAGGTATTGGACCTATTAACATTACTGCGTTAGTTACATTTCCGTCAACATATATAAATGGCAACAAGAATTTAAGTCTTTTGTTTCGACATATGATGGCATATACCTATTGCTTATTATGCTATAATATAACAACATCGTGTGAAAATAATAAAATCATGACTTAGTTGGCGATAACCTTAAAATAAATATATTTCTGAATTTCCTTATTTTAAGAGGTACATAGGTACTCGTATATGTGAAAATGCAATTGGGTCGTCAATACGTTTTTCATGAAATTTACACGAATTTTAGGTTTGAATTGACTCGATGGTTGTCTAAGTGAGATGTGATCAGTTACGAAAAAAGCCATATTCGTGGTGCAGCGAGGGCCGGAGACACTCGCATGTACAGTATATTATGGCGTATGCAGTTGACACGCGCCGCTCGCTCGAAAGTTTGTCTACAGGTACAGCACTCAGGGTAAGCAGGTGCCTTGGCCTTGGAACATGCATTGCGGATATTTGTTATTTTTCAACTTTTCCGCAAATCAACTCGTCCATCAACCATTTAATTTTGTATGAATATTACTTCCACTATTAGACCATTATATCGATACATCATAATAAGGTAAAATAACTTACCTTACAACCGAATGCATTACACACTGATAGTGTTAATACATTCTCGTCCATATACATATATTCTACTATTTGCATACGTATTTGACATAACAGAACGCATTGTTAGATAGCAGGTCATATTGATTAGACAGTTTACGTCAACGTGTTTCTACATTAGGATGATAATGAATGTCGTTGAACGCGGCATTATCCTCCGTAGGACCGCGGATGGTATGATATAGAAGCCAGGTCTGCATCAAGTGCGGGCTGCGGTCGAGGCCGGGAGTCCGGGAGTGGTGGTAGCCGCTCGTATGCCGCACTCAGTGTACTGTCGCGCGCCACAAGTGTTGCGCGCACGCACTGCTCTCTGCAGCTGACCTCGCTTATCGTATTCATCTTATCGATACGCCATTCGCCTTCTTAATACTTAACATTCTTAAGTGATGTGATCTCTTTATATAGTCGGTGCTTCGCCGCTATAAACAAACTGAAGCTATGTTTAAATAGTACCGTAGGCAAGTGTAGCCGCAGTAACAGACTGATCGGCACCGTCTGCTACTGATCCATGTGCGTCAGTCCGGTATTGGTGTCCAAGGAGATAACGTGATGTGACAACGATACGTATTAAAGTGGCAGTGGAATAGTTTGTGAAAGTGTGCAGCGAGCGTGAGTGAACAGACGGCAGCCGGCGCGGCCGGCGCCCGATCACAATGTTGAATTGCACCGACCTGGAATGCATCCTGCATCATCACCATTATTATGCCCATCTACACCACATTCATCACTTACAAAATGCGCAGGATTCAGGTAAGATAATGAACGATGTAAATAAATGTAAAGTAGTAAAATTACACTGATTTTTCTTCTGATGATGAAAAACAATGGTAGTATTTAACAATGACTGTTTGTTTAAAATCAAACAGTGAGTCGCGTTGATAACAATATGACATACATATTTATCGAATTCTGCCTAGTCTTTTATATTGTTTTAAAAGTCAACGTATAACGCTACAGATAATTCCTTTTAAATTGTTGGTACTTATAATATGAAAGGTAATACAATAAACAACTATTGGCATTTAAAGAAAAAATATATCATTTACTAGCAAGTGATAAAAGTTGTAATCACGAAAGGCGTTGACTGACCAGCGAACGGCAGCTAGCAATCGTTTTCTCTATCAGGCTCGGATGTTGTTCTAAAGAACCGGCCCCGGTAATGCGAATAGTGTGTAATATTTGCTAAGCTAATTTTGTTTGTTTGATTTTTGTCTTTCATCGAATTTAAAAGTGCACTTCGTTAAGAGGTGTTTAAACTGAATAGGTAATTACCATATTTACAGTGTCACTAATTAGTGAGACGCAATTTAATTTTATAATTAGCGTTTGTAATTATCCGAAAGTAATTGCTGATTTTGTTTCTCGTAATTTAACCACAGATTTTGCAACAAAAAATTTAACTGTCAGTACTTTATCGCGAGCTACTTCGTTTTATTTTATTACCAAGTATCATACTTGCGTGAGGCTTTCCACATATGCATTGTTTCTTTGGCCAATTGTGTAAATATGAAATGTAAACTATTATTAATTAATTAAAAAATAATATATTAAGTGTGATTAAAAATATTTGACGGAAAAATAGTCTAAGTAATACTTATTTTATCTTAGATCATATTTTGTACTAATGGTACCTGTATATGTTAGTGGCGAAGGGTCCTTACAAGACGTATTACCTTAAAATTATTTTGCTATAATTTTACATTTAATTTTTTAAATGTATAAATGTTCTATATATACATATATATATATATATATATATATATATATATATATAAATTTATTTTTGCATTAATATGTATATAAAAATTGAATATTTTTGGAACGGCTTACCTCTGCTAAAATTTCATCCTTCGCCACTGATATATGTAGATCCATTTTTTTGACATTGACTCTAGGGAGTCCAGTTGGATTATAATCTATAAACCCCGTATATTCTTTTAGCAGCTTACTTAGTACTAGCGACTTACCTTCGTTTAGTTCTGGTGTCTCACAGTAGCCTATGTGTTACATATGATTTTCCATCTGTGTACTAAACATCGAAAACTTTCGAGTTGTTTCAGCGTGAAGAAGTTACTAACATAGACATACATATAACATTTCTCATATTATATAATGGCAACAGGATGATAAAATTATAGTAATATAAAAACGTCTTTACGATATACGATAAGAGATAAGACTATTTGTCAGAATAAATGGAAAATATTGTTTACTAGCTGACCCGACAGACGTTGTCCTGTCTACACGTCTTTAATTTGAAAATTTCAAACTTTTTTTAATAAGCTAAAACATTCTGGACCATTTTGATGAAAATTATTATTCAAATTGTGAATCTAAACCATTCTCAGATCCCCTTGAACACACACAAAAAATTTCATCAAAATCCGTCCAGTCGTTTGAGAGAAGTTCAGTGACATACACACTCACAGAAGAATTATATATATAAAGATTGACAAAAAAGAGTTCTGAAGTAAATGTAAACTACCTATGCCTTCTGTACCTACTTGGTTCAGTAAATGTAACATAACATACGAAATCTGAATTTATAAACATATGTTTGCTTATATATCTTATTTATTCTTAAATATATATTGACTCTTGCAGAACCTATACGCAGTACCTAATTACTTTTAATTCGTTCTCAAATTAGTAGAAAAGAACCCAAAAATATCATGGGAAAGATTCGTCGTATGTTTTGTACTTACAACTTCATATACGTCCTTAGTATAAGATTAAAACTAATAAAAAAATTATGGTAATTAATAATGGTTCATTTATGGTGGGTACTGGGTATTCATTTCCAGTTATTTGTCTAAAGTTGGAAATATTGAAAAACAATAATAATAAAAACGTGTAGTTTTGAGTAATGATTGCGCTACAATAGACATTTAATAGGTAGATATGTACATAGATATATTGTGTTTTTACTGAGGAAATATAGATAGACATGAAAAAACAGGAACAATTAATGTGAATAGATAAAACTTTAATTTATCTAATTTATGTACAGTTACTTAGAAAACCAATTATAATTTTATTACCTCTTGATAATTAAGTAGTGTAGTTTGAAATTAAGTAATTTATTATAAATCTAAATTAGTTCAAAGGTCATCGTATTTATCAAGACACGCGGTAGAGTGTCCAGCCAAGTTCAAGCCAAAGGAACTGGCGACGCAGCATCGTGTGTATATTTACACGAACCATTTGGCGCCACTTTTCACCTCATAATAACGCAAAATTTATTTATTTTTATTTTATTTTTTATTTCATTTATTATTAGGGAAACATACAGTGTTACAACACAAACAACATATAACAATAAAAATAGTACATACACCAATAAAGTTTCCACAAACAAACAATTCATACAGTAAAGGAGTAGAGATTTGACAAAACAACAACACGTGAATTAAGTTAGCAGAACATGCATTAATATAAGATATGGAGTTAAATGATTAATTGTTTAGGAGAAGTACATTCCTAATAATAATATAAAGTAATTTACTAATAATATAAAGTAATGATATAAACTAATGAAATTTGGTTCATTTATTAAATCAAGATTTGACTTGGCTAGTTTTTACATACAAGTTATCTTATATTCGGCTAATCACTTATATCTTCTTTATGCTATACGCAAGTTACTGTTTTTATATTGTAAGGTCAATGTATCTCACTCTTCTAAAAACTTGCTTTACTGGTAAAAACTAGTCAAGTCAAAACTTGAACTTCAATTTATCCTAATTTATTTACTCTGTGTAAATAATTCAACTGTTCAAATTTAAGAAGTTCTATTTTTAAATAGCAAACACATTTGTAGCAGAAAAAACAAGAAATTGCGTTTTTAATTTATTTTAGAATGTGAATTATTGTAGTATGTTCTTATGAAAAAAAATCAGGATTATCTACACAACTTGGCACCCATTTAGATCTCAATTCTTTTGTCGGTGAAGTTGACAATCACCTTTATTCTTAACATTGAACTTGGCTCCCATTTTCACATTTATGTTTTGATGGGATAGACACTTAACTACACGAATGTAACGGTACATCGTTAGTCATAATAATGGCAGAAACATAAGATCAGAATTGAACTAACGACAGAAACAATTAATAATATTTTTTGTAGCTAGTATTCACTACTTTAGCCTCCGGCTTCACTCGCATGGTAGGCGAGGCGCGGAAAATTGGTATGTTCTTCGGCCGTCTCCATGATCTCAGTTCTGTTCAACGGTTACCCGTACCAACAATTAAAAAGTAACATGCAGACAGTCATAGCCTCTTTTTTGAAACTTATAACTTCTAAGAACACATATAATTTAAATTTGTTTACTAATTTTTATGTTTTTCCATTGAGTATTCAAATACATCTATACATATAATAAAATTCTGAGTCGAATCTGTACATTAAATATTTTTTGGAAAATCTTATTGAAATATGTAGTCATTATTGAGGCCAAATCTATAGTTTTTAAAATTTTTGTCTGTCTGTCTGTCTGTCTGTGACCGCAACACGGAAAACCACTGGAGGGCTTTTGATGAAATTTGGTATGGTGATAGCTGATTATCTGGGTCAACATATAGGATACTTTTTACCGCAGAAAAATACATATCTCATTTCTGAGAAAAGTACAAAAATTGGTTAGAATAAAAAAACGATGATACTATATAGATTTTAGCAAATTAACTTACTAAATATGTCAAAAACTATTAAAAATAGCTTATTTTGAAAAAGTTTTCAGAATTTTTGTCTGTCTCTCTGTCTGTGACCGCAACACGGAAAACTACTGGAGGGCTTTTGATGAAATTTGTCACACACAGATAATCATACAGATAGATTGTAGTCGGGAATAGCAATAGGTTACTTTTATCCTGAAAAAATGTACGGTTCCCGAGAAATATCCATACTAACCGTTAAAACGTACCTGAATCACTATTACTTACATAATATTATATACTGGCGACTTACTCTCGCTCGGGTTCATCCCTAGTTACGTTTTAACGTTTAGTAAAGATTTCTCAGGGATGAGATATTTTCTCACAGTAAAAAGTATCCTATATGTTGACCCGGATAACCAGCTATAACCATACCAAATTTCATCAAAATCCCTCCAGTGGTTCTTCTGTGATGCGGTAACAGACAGAGAGACTGACAGACAAAAATTCTAACAACTATGTATATATTCGACCTCTGTATAATGTCTATTTCAATAAGATTTTCCAAAAAATATTTAATGTACAGACTCGGCTTCGTTACAATTTTATTATATGTACCTATAGATGATATTTTACGTCAAGTTTGAAAATGTATAAATTATTCCTGGTATTTTAATTATTTACATGCTTAAATTGAAATGATAAGGTGCAATAGCGTTTTTTATTCTTGTAATTTGTAAAATTGTAAGTAAATTTTAAGTTTCAAAATGATAAGACATGCATGAAGTAGTGTGACAAGGCTTTGGAATTTTATGAGCATACTTCAACATATAAAGAAAATCTTTATCTATATATCTTTATATACGTTGCATAAGTTTCTCGTGTTTGGAAAGAATATTTATAACTCTAAAGTTTTACTTGTGTAACTGTTGAATTATGTGTTGACTTTTGTTGACTTATGAGCGTGGGTGTTTTGGCATACCTATAAAAGGATTATTTTTAAGATACAATGCAAATTTTATGTTA